GCATTATTATTATGCAGTCAAATAAAGTGAAGAGAATCTGGACTATATGGGAGAAGGGGGAAGGCATACTACTCCTGCATATGTTCAATTGTATAGCTAGTGGAGAAGCATTTTGTAGAGAAGCAGCAATGATTGACGCTATTGGTAAGAGAGAGAGAGGGGGGAGAAAAAGAAGAGATAGCTGTATTACATAAATCTTCTATAGGAAGAGATAAACTTTGCAATGAAGTGAGAGGACATTATCATGGTCAAATGTCCACATGGTCTTCATCACAGCAAAGACTGTTTGGAGTTTATCTGCTGCACAAAGCTTACCTGTCATATAAAATTGATACGCCACAGCCCATATATCCCTCTGACTTGTAATTATAAGCATGGAATTGTAATATAATGATTTTTTTCATGGACAGAATCAATTATTTTTGTTACTTTTTTGCAATATTTGACTGGAGAATAGTTTCAAATAGGTTTATATATTATTTTTGTAATTTTTGAAAAAAACTTTGTTAGTCAAATACAATTCTAAGCACAATGCCAGTGCAAATATCTACTTGACACAAACGATGATACAGTAACAGATTGCTACACAATATAAAGAAAATAATTATGTTGTCATTATTAGATTAATGTTGTCCTTCAGAGGCCCACTCAGGATGAACAGTAAAATGCGATGGCATATGTCTTGTTGGTGTGAACATTGAACCTTTTGCATTTGAGACATCAGAGCTTGAGCGTCTTAATCTCCTCCCTCCTCCTCCTCCTCCTCCTTTCCCATCGGAAGGCTTTCTTGAATAAGTTGGCTGGGGTAATTCCTTAGATGACCTATAAATAGTTATTATAAAAACATTAATTTCGAAAAGGTTTGGTGATTAAAATTTGGCAAAAGTTTGATTAGATGTACTACAGGGTTTCCCACAAAGTATGCTCTAAGTGAGCTAAACAGCATTCTTCATTAGCTAAAAAGCACTACAATACAGTACATGGAATTTGGAGCAAGTTTAAAAATTCATAAAAATTCTAATTTGATTGGAATCTGCTCAAAGTTAATACATAAAATAACATGCATCAAAAAATTATAATAATGGAAAATTCTCTCCTAGCCATGTTTGGTGAAATTTGACTGATTGGCCAAATTTTTGAGCTACTTCAAAATTCATAAAAAATCTAATTTTCATTGAAATCAGCTAAAAGTTGATAGACAAAAAAATGAACATGCATATGTATCAGAAAAAAGTATAAAAATGGAGAAATTTCTCCTTTTTGATAACTTGACAATTCACTGACAAAGAGGCTGTATGAGCACTATGCCACAATCCTGTGGAAAACCCTGTCCAACCGTATCATAAAAAATGACATCAAATTAAGCAATGTTTGGACTGGAGTAACTTTAAGCTTTGACACAGCACAAAATTTTTGAGGGCTAAATATTTGAAGATTTGCACCACAAAAATTAAATTCACAAAATTAATTTTTAAAAATTTACAGCCCTTAAAATTTTACACTACCAGCAGCAGTAAAAAACAGTTTATTTTACCTCTCTAGTTGTTTGTACAGTTGAGCTGTTTCCTTTTCTTGCATTCTTTGTTGTCTGCTTGGTGTCATTACAGCTGATCTCACTCTTGATGAGTGAGTAGAGGCTTTGGTTGCAGGATCATCTCTTTGACCCTGTGAACTGATTGTACGCATGAACTTTGCTGCAGTGTCACGTTCTACAAGAAAATAATGGCATATTACATATACTGCTCATAAACTGACTATATGTACCTTTCTGGCTAGCATTTGCTAGCCATTTTTCTACCCCAGGCACTATTTCAGAATTAAGACCATCACCAAAAGTCTAAAATATAAAGTATGATGATAGACTTTAGCTACAAAATACAAATTAAAAGGGTCAATTTCCCAGATGCTTCTATTCCAGAATTTTATCAGAAATCACTTCAAATGCTGTACATAGTGTGAAACAATAGATGCTATTGCTTTTTTAAAAGGTTTTTGGCAAGATTTAGCTCAAAATTTCTGATCAAAATCAGCTCGATATAGGTTAAGGACATGATAAATATGCATACTCACTGTTTGCATTGGGGGCAACTGATGAGGCAACTGTCTCTGTGGCTGTGCATAGCCTATGAAAAGGAACCTGAAAGTATTCTTTGTGCATAGAGCAGGCCCGTAGCCAGGGG